GTCTGAAAATAGAAAAAAACCCTAAACCCAATGGTTTTGCTGATCATTATCCCTATTAAATGGCTATTTCATTGGGAATATACTCTATTTTCAGACAAACCCAAAATAACCATAGTTTAAGATAATTGTTGATTGTGATAAAATGACATTTAAATATTGTGAATCTAATGATTATCAATAAATTATCATAAAGATTTTGTGTTTTGGTGGACTACCAAAACTTAACCATGTTTGATGGGATGTCCTGGGGATATGGATGTACCCTCCAGTTCATTAACATAGACCCTACCAGATAGGGCTTGGAAGATTAGTTGCCATGTAAGAATTGGTTATGTTCATTTACCAGAGGGCAATTGGGAACTAGCCCTCCTGCAAACGTTTACAGTTCGAGTCGTGGAGTTTTCCGAACCGGAAATTCCACGGCTGGAACCAGCCTCCAAAGATGCCGTTAAAAGTGTGTTTCACCAGGATGTGAAATCGATGATGTTGTTTGGGACATGCTCACAATTGATTCATGTGGGAAAAACACATGCCCAAAAACATGGTTGATGTATGTTGATGTAAGATGCACAACTGGCTGAACAGAAATGAGGTAAAATCCACTTCGATGGACCATCGAGTTGGTCATTTGCGGCCGATTGGATCCTTTTGGGTCACTGGTTCTACTATAGGAAACCCCAAAAAGAAAGAGAAGCGCTTCTTTACTGTTTTACTTGTTGTTTTCTGTTTGTTTTTTTGGGGGGTGCTAAATTATATAATATTGTAGATACTCGTATTATGTAATGCTTGTTTTTAAACCCAGTTTTTAAACTATGTTTTCAATCAGTCAACTAATTTGACAGTCATCTACGTAGGTGAATCATAGTTTGTTCCAATCTATAAATGGGCCATCTATGTCATAGCAAACTGCTATAGTCATTACCCGAGGGCATCGTCCACAGGTGCACCCTCCGTTGGCGATGAGAGGTCGGAGGTCGGCTGCGGCGGGGAACTGGATCATGATCAGACAATAGGACTAGAAGCGGGTGGCCCTCCAAGTACTTCGGAAGATCTGGTGATATAGACATTATATGCCATTATATGCCATTATATGCCACTATATGCCATTATATATGCCGTTATATGCCACTATTTACAATTATATGCCTTTATATGTAATTATATGACATTCTATGCCATTATATGTCATTATATGCAATTATATGCCACTATATACCATTATATCCCATTATTTGCCATTATATGCCATTATATGCTATTATATGCCATTACATGCCATTATATGCCATTAAATGCCATTATATGCCATTAGATGCCATGATATGCCATTAGATGCCGTTATATGCCATTATTACATGGGACTTGTTCATGCTTTTACCCATTGTCTTGGGTGCTTGGAGGGGCTAAGATGAAGTTAGTATGAAGAGTGTTATTACTGTATGTATATATATATATGTAAATCAATCTTACCTTGGGATTTTGTGTTCTATGTGTGCTTTTCGAGGTCTAGGTTATCATTGGAAGAGTTCGGTCTTCGTTGGTTCCAGCTCCGATTTCCCAGCCATGAAGTTTCTCCTGTTGCAACAGCAACCAATTTATGCGCTATTGATGTGTCTTGGGAGCCTACTATATCTACTGGCTGGTGGTTTCAAACATGAATTTTCTTCTCCATTTCATATATGGGATAATTAATCCTTCCCATTGACGAACTCCATCATTTTTCAAGATGGTTATTGCACCACCAACCAGTCAAACATGTTTTATTTTCCATTTCATATATGGGAATAATCATCAGTGACCTTCATATTTTTCAGAGGGGTTGGTCAACCACCAACCAGGATGTGTCTTGGGAGCCTACTAAGGGCCTATATTTTGCGCCAACGTAACATGCTACCGGCGATGACGGGATTTCACCGCGATATTTCCAACGTTGAGTAATCAGCACGTATCAGATGAATTTTTGTTCAGCCAGCCATGGACGTATATCTGTATGTAGTTATATAAATATGTATAGTTATATATATAATTATATAGTTATATATATATATAGTTATATATATATAGTTATATATATATAGTTATATATATATATATAGTTATATATATATATAGTTATATATTGTTAAATTTCACGAGGTCTTGGGGTTTTGGGATTTTTAGGGTATATTGGGTTTCAAAGTCAAAATGCATCATTTCGAGCAACCTGCGCGCAGAAGGGTCGTGAGGAAAAGTGTTGAATGTTGTGATTTTTGTTGAATCAGTGGTCCACAGGTCCAACTGGCGTTCCAGAGAAACTGAAACAGTCGGAAACAGTCGGAAACAGTCGGAAACAGTCGGAAACAGTCGGAAACAGTCGGGAGCGGCCCGGCGTGATCATGCCAAAATTGTCAATCCGCCATTTTTTTGCCAAAAAAAAACTTTCCGCGCAATCCCATTTTTTTTTGGAAAGTGCAACGGGAAACAGTTGGAAACAGTTGGGGCTCGTACCTTTGACTCGGCAAAAAACGAGCTATTTAAAACCATTTAAGGAAAATTTTCTTTATAAATGGTTTTAAATAGCTCTTTTTTTGCCGAGTCAAAGGTACGAGCCCCAACTGTTTCCAACTGTTTCCCGTTGCACTTTCAAAAAAAAAATGGGATTGCGCGGAAAGTTTTTTTTTGCAAAAAAATGGCGGATTGACAATTTTGGCATGATCACGCCGGGCCGCTCCCGACTGTTTCCGACTGTTTCAGTTTCTCTGGAACGCCAGTTGGACCTGTGGACCACTGATTCAACAAAAATCACAACATTTAACACTTTTCCTCACGACCCTTCTGCGCGCAGGTTGCTCGAACTGATGCATTTTGACTTTGAAACCCAATATACCCTAAAAATCCCAAAACCCCAAGACCTCGTGAAATTCAATATTATATATATAGTTATATATATATATAGTTATATATATATAGTTATATATATATAGTTATATATACAGTATATATATTTATAGTTATATATATATAGTTATATATATAGTTATATATATATAGTTATATATATATATATCCGTAGCCATTTTGGCTCAAGCGGGCTCTTTGCGCTTAAGAGCATATCGCACAGCTTCAGGACTGAGCAAAGCACTATATGATCTTTTCTCCACTTCTAAATTGATGCATCTACTCTTGTTGTCTACTTCTTTGATCGTCGTGATGTGGGTCGTGCGAAATTGCAGCCCACTTGCATGCTGGGCACATTGCCAGCCGGACTCATGCAAGTCTGTTGTTCCTGAAGTCCAAGTTCGGCCTCTCCGGCAGCTGAGAGAAGAATTTTGTTGGGCAGCTGGACAAAGAATGGAGCAGATGGCAGGTTCCATTTTCTGAGGCCAACATGCCTCCGTGTTCAGAGCCTGGACCAATACAGCATGAAACAGACCTACTTGTAGCGCCAGAGGCATGTTGTATGTCAGAGGATGGCGCAGGAAAGACAAGGCGGGGATGGCCTAAAATCTGGAGAGCGCATTCAGACGGCATGGGGTCTGAAAAGGTTGATGGGGCTAACGAATGCCCCGCGCAACCCTATGGAGACTCGAAGAGTCCTCTAGAGGTGGATAACATGGATCATCCTGCCCCGTCTGGGGTCATGAAGCAGCTTCCGAGCCGTTGCTCGAAAGAGGACATGAGGCAGCGACGCCTCACTTTGAAAGTGGCAATAATTTGCAGGTGATCCCAGAGGATTCTGAAATGTATACGTGGTGCAAATACCTCGATGACCCTTGGGGCCCTGAGGCAGAGACAAGGACGAGAGTTGAGGAATGGAGGCTAGAATCTCTGGATGCCATTCTGCTTCCCCAGATATGTCTTCATATCCTCGGCTTCCTACCTGTGAACGAAGTGCTAAAGTACAATCTTCGAGCAGTTTCAAAAAGCTTTTCGAGCCGCGAGGTCTGGATGATGCACTTGTTCAAGTTGGTGGATGTGGGTTCATTCCAACCTCGCAGTGACGTTCTGCCGGCCCCGTGGCATCGAATTGACGAGATGACGGCTTGTCTACAAGTTTTCGCCCAGTGCACGGAGATGTCTCCGAGAAAGAGATTTCTGTCTCCTGCTGTATTGCAATTTCGAGCCGAAGCTTCAGAAGCTTTCCAAGGTTGCTTCCACTCCTTGTGCGGCCCGTGGCAGTGGACTGAGGATCTCCAAGGCAAGTATCTTAAGCATTTGGATTTGATCAAAGCGACTGTGAATGCGAGGGCTCTTTTCTTGGAAGACAACATGCAGCATGGGTAGCAGTAGAAAAAAACAATAAGGTTTCGGTCCTGACGAGCAGCTCGGGAAGAACTTCCCCCCCGACTGCCTCGGTTAGTCCTAACCTTAGTGGGATCCGCACGCTTCCCACGGGCATCGCGATTACCTTTTCGAGTGCCGCCGGCTGCATCGTTGCGCTTCTTTGCACTGGTGATTGGTGTCCCAGCACCAATTCAAAAACTCTCCTGGGTTGGCAGTGCTCCGGTTCTACGTGAACATCCTGGACATTGTCAAGGCTTCTGGAGTGTGCCTAACACTCGGTTGGATCTTTGGGTATTGTTAGCTGCCATTGAATTGGCCTACCCTTACCTATTTGGTCTTTGCCCGTCTTCTTCGTACATTCAATATTTTCCTGGGTTCTGCAGTGTCCCTCACACTGGACCTATTGGTCAATTTTTGGCTGTGATCGAATTGGACGAGATTGCCTCTTCATGTGCATTGTGCTCTCTTTGGTTCACTGGGTATTCTTTGTGATCTTCTTTGAGCACGTCCTTGTTGAGTGTGCGATTTTGGACATCTACCACAGCGGCCCCTACGCAGCGTCGAGCGCTACGCAGACGTCGTGCTACAGCGAGGCGACAGTGGTTTTTGCATCGCACCGGGGTAATCTCTTTGCCTCGAGCGCGACTACACCAGATCTATACCATACTCCAAGGTCATCATTCGAGAGACACCCTCTTTTTGAAGAGAATCGCAGACACCATGGCGACCAACACCCCATGGCGATGTGTCAACTGCAGGCAGTTGAGGACAAGATCGGCCACCCATTGCCAAACTTGTCGTCAACCATGGCAAGTGGTTTTGGACACAACATATATGTCCATCAGCATGGGGGCACCCAAGCGCCACAGGAGACCTACACCCCCAACTGGGCCTACGACCAGCAGGGTTGGAGTGGTCATCAAGATCAGTCTGGCTGGAATCGACAACGATCCAAATGCAGGACTCAGACACCGACGAAGGGAAGACGATCGAAGAGCGCGAAGTCGCCCAAGAGGAATCCTCCTGGAGACGGTACAAGTCCTCCTCCCATGGTCTATCCACCAACAGCCTGTGGAAAAGGCCAAGTCAAGGGACAGGCACCACCGCTGCCACCTCCTACTGTTCCTTGGCCAGGCTATGGCAATGCTGGACCTCCGATGATGATGATGCCACCAGCAATTGCAGATGATACCATCTATGCCAATGCCCATGCCACCACCGGCTGCACCGCAGCAGATGGCTCCAGTGGCTCCGGCCTTTATGGCACCCACCCCCCCCAGCCAACCATGGATTCAGAGCAGAAGGAATTCATGGAAATGGCAAGGGCAAGACAGATGGAGCTTCCTCCAGACATGCGTCAGAAGGTTCAGAGGATTACCAAGAAGGAGAGTGTCAAAGCCACAAAGGACCTGCACTCCGCGGTGAGACATCTTGGTCATGCCAGGGCAGGCTTGGAGGAGGCACTCCAAGCCCGCTTCAATTTATTGTCTTCATGGAAAACCTTTCTACAAGATGCAGTCCAGACATGGAAAGGTCATGCAGCCCTCTTCGAATCTCAGGAGAAGGAGCTACAGGAGAGAATCCAAAAAGCTCAGGAGGTCTTTACCTCTGCAAAAGCTCAGGCTGCAGAATCACAGGAGGAAGCGGGGAAGATTCCGACAATCGAGATCAAGGACGAAGAGGGCGAGCTTGAGGGGGGGGAAGCCACAGCTGCGCAGTCGACTGGCAAGATCCACGATGGCTAGGCCTGCCTGACGTCCTCACTACAACAACTTCAAGAACAAGCCAACGCCATCATTGTGGAAGAGAGTGCTCACAAGCGGCAGCGAACAGACTCTCCCATGATGGTACGGAGATTCTGGATCCAGGCCATCCTTGATGGACAAGTGGTTGGCCTCATGGGAGGACCTCCCTGCGAGACATGGTCTCGGGCTAGGGCGAGGCAGTGGAAGCCAGATTCATCGGGAGGCCAAGCTGGACCTCGTGTGTGATCCTCATGGGTTTCCAGCTGGTGGCGATGGCGGCCCTTGCAGGGACTGGTGGCACCGCAGTACTGGAGCATCCTGCAGCACCACCGGAACCGACAGCTGCGTCCATTTGGAGGGCTCCCATCATGCAGATGCTTCTGCACCTCCCTGAGTGTTCGTTTTGCACATTAGCTCAGGGACTTTGGGGTGCCCAAACGGCCAAACCCACGTCTCTCGCAATTTTGAATGCCCCGGGCTTACTAGGTGAGCTGCACAAAGGCAGGGTTACAAAGGAAGTGCCAAAGGGCATGTCCATCGGCAAGGAGCAGTCAGGCCAATGGGCCACCTCCAAGCTGAAAGAATCCCCCTGGGGCTTTGTCTTGCCCTGGCGAAGGGATTCCTGCAGGCCACCACTGGCTCAGAGCTGAATCCATCTCACCAGGTCTCCCAGCAATTTTTGGACATCAGCGTTTCCATGATATGCACAGAATGTGGAACGTCATATGGCCCCGATTTCGCTGGTTGACTGCTTTTGTGGAAAAACTTACCCAGGAATTCACCTGCAAAGGCCGCAGCGGTGAACCGCTGCTATGTGCCAGAGCCATATATATATATATAGTTACATATACAGATACATATATATATATATATATGTAGTTATTGAACTATATATATATATTTATATATATATAGTTATGAATAAATATAGTTATATATATAGTTATATATATATAGTTATATCTATAGTTAGATATATATATATATAGAGAGAGAGAGAGAGATAGATAGATAGATAGATAGATAGATAGATAGATAGATAGATAGATAGATAGATAATGTGGGATGCACTAGCTAAATTAAACCAGGTGGACACTGAGTTAGGTTTAATTTTTTTGGTTTAATTTAAAAAATCTTACGAAAACAGGGGGTCCACCCACCTCCTTAAGATCCTGAAGAAAGTTGAGTTGGTTTAATTTTGAGATGTGACCCACCCCATGGTTTAATTTCAGCTGTTTTAGCTCATTGTGCTGCCTCGTGTTCCGCCTCGGGATACTGCAGCCATGGTTCCTGACACGTGTCCTAGCACAGCTCCGTGAAGACGATCCGGCGTGGACAGCAAGGTTCTCCACCATGCAAGAAGGAGGCAAATGAGCAACCTTCAATGAGAGAGATTGGTGAGATACAGGTGTCAAAATAATTCGAAAGTAGCAAGTCCAATGAGATTCCATCAGGTTCTTTCCTTTTGTGATGACCAAAGATGAAAATTCAAGAAAAACAATGAATCATGATAACACCAAAGGTATCCCAATACATGAATCTTTATGAATGCCAAGAACATGTGGACTTATCCACCCCTTGTTTAATTATTCTGGTGACCATCAATGCCATGGATGTTGTATGATATTATGGTGTTTGGGGTGCCCCAATGGAAGAACTGATCCTGAATGCCCAGTACATGTGGACTCACCCACCCCTTGTTTAATTATTCTGGTGACCATAAATCCCATGAATATTATGGTGCCAAAGGTGTCCTGATGAATGAATGTTCAGTACGTATGGACTCACCCACCCCTTGATTAATTATTCTGACCTGATCTGGGATCACGCAAGGGGCCCGAAACAGATAGAAACAGTTTACCATGGTCCCGCAGCGCCTTTCCCATGGACTTGCTCTGCTTGAGATGGAGCATTTGGGCTGCAGCAATGCTGATCCCAACTGTGCAAGAACCTTGCTGTCCACGCCGGATCGTCTTCACGGAGCTGTGCTAGGACACGTGTCAGGAACCATGGCTGCAGTATCCCGAGGCGGAACACGAGGCAGCACAATGAGCTAAAACAGCTGAAATTAAACCATGGGGTTTAATTTTGAGAAAGTTGAGTTGGTCCACGCACCTGGGGGGAGAAATGGTGGGCGCAACTGTTTTTACACCAAGTCTCACTGGCATGTGTAGAACCAGGTGATTTAATATTTGGTCTTGGCAAAACAAAATCAACCCAATGATCCTGTAAAATTAAACCAGGTACTGCCGAGTAGCTTGTTTAATTTTTAGCTGGGGGATGTTGGGTGGGACCTTAACTGGAAGTTTTCTGGATTAATTTCTTATGTTAAAAATAAACGGAGGTTATGTTTGACTGAAAAATTTTGGAAAAAAACATACTGCAGGGGACCCCGTTTAATTAAAGAAATTAAACCAGGGTCCCACCCCCCCCCACCAATTACCGATAGGGAAATGATAGATAGATAGATATAGATATACATATACATATATATATATATAGATATAAATATATATATAGATATATATTTAGTTATGTAGATATATATAGTTATATATATATTGTTTTTCATAGATATATATTTAGCTATGTATATATATATATACATATATATACATATATATACATATATATACATATAGTTATTTATATATATAAATTTATTTATTTATTTATATATATATTTTTATTATTTATTTTTACATATAGTTATGAATATATAGAGTTATACTTAGTTTTATCTATAGTTTTTCACCTATAGTCATATATAGTTCTATATGTATACTTATCTAGGAATAGTTTATTTATATATATAGTTATTTTTCTTTATATATATATATACAGTTACTTATATATATAGTTTTATATATAGCTATATATATACACAGTTAAATATATATATATATAATTATATATATATAATTATATATATATATTATAGTGGCATATGTATATATAATATATAGTTATACATAGAGTTATTTATATTTATACATATATATATATATATATTATGGGTTTGTCTCAATATCGCACTCCTGAATCCATTGGATTTTTAGCGGTTTCCCCATTAAAATTGTAATACATGGAGATCATTGAGGATAACTGATACCGCAAGTTCATGGATTTGAACATCCTGATGAAGGCGGCCATTTATTGGGTTCATGGTATACATTGGTATTGTATAGCTCGCTGCTTTTGACCAAAATATCATTCTTGAATATTCGTGACCAGGGAACCGTATTTAATGTGTATCCCCTTTGTATCCCCACTATTGACTCTGTACTTGTAGGAGAGTGTGACACCAACGACGCCAATGACCATGCCCGTCGGCTCAGCATGGGCTTAAGTTCTTAAGGAAAAGGGGTGCCCCCAAGTTACAAGTTGGAATTAACCAACAAATGAGAACATTGTACGGGGATATACAGTCATTGGTGTATAACCAGTAATATAATATATATATATATATAACAATTGTTCTATTTGCAATCCACAATTATGGGGTATTTATTTGAATGTCCCTGAAAATGTTTCGTATCCGATGTGTGGTAATTTTGATGAGATACCCCAAGTTTCAGACAAAGCATGTGAGAGTTGCTTGGACATAGCCTCAGTGGATGGTCGATTTATCGGTGCCGAACCTTTTTGGGATGGTGACTGTGGTGATGGCTTCAAACCTCACGATGGATTCGAAATGGTCGAGAAGTAGACCCAAAGCTGTCGCTGGTCATGTTTTGAAACAGTTTAGATTCTTTAGAGTCCTAAAATGACACTCTAATCCGTCTAACTTGGCCAATGACTCTAACTGTGATAACACAATGATTGATTGTAGTGTGTAATCATCATTCTACAAGTACCATCATCATAGAGTCTCTATAAAATTTGGGGATCCACAACCTGTCTCCGTTCCGCTGAAAAAAAATCCTAGCAGCGAGGCAGCTCTGTCATCAGCCTCACTACATCACGGAGGAGAATGAGGATGATGAAACACCTGTGCCCTGGTCACGAATGGGACAACGGGACGGTGAAACGCAGCCTGGAATCGCGCGCATATTTTCTGGTTTGGACCTCCAAGAACTGAGAATTCTGTTAGGAAACACTAAAGGTCATCAGTTTTTTCAATCAATTGGTGACTAGGGGGGCACAACTGTGTGGCAGAATGACTAAGAACACAGGGAAAAACATTTGAATCCTTCCTCAAGATGGATGTTGTTTTCCCAGTACGACAAATAAAACCTGCCGGGTATTTAAGAGGTTGTCCATAGTTGAACGGATGATTGTCCATGGGTCGTTGTCCATACTTGGAACGACGATCTGATAGGGTATTTGTTTGGATTCGAAATTGGCTAAGTTGGTTTATGATACGTAGCTTAACTGGGGTTTATGGAAGATATGTCTATATTAATATGTCTACAGTTACTACAGTTAATGGGGGTTATAATCCACTGATTCTGGCTTTGGAGCAGGGACAGGTGATAGAAGACAGGTGCAGTTTGTGATGATCTATTGTGTAATCAAAGGTAATCAATACTAACAGATGGTTTAAACCCATGGCCCATACCATATGTCATGAATTTATGTAGGTGCCCATAGATATGAGAGTCTGCAAACTATTTATACCGCGACAAGTTTAACTACCCTAAGAATGGATGCCCATATCGTTGGGCACCCATATGGACATCCTTGGATAGATAGCCAATACAATACATGCCTAATGTGTTGCTACAAAAAAGGGCGTGTTTTCAGCTGACCAGCGAAGCAGTGTGTTTCATGATGGCTCCATTCATAGCAAACACCCCCCAAGAAACCATGATGGATGTAGGGTATGATCCATTTCCAGAGGAGGTGTAAAAAATATGAACGGGTGATTGGACTAGAAAAACCATCATATCCATTTTTTTGGGGGGATATTCACCATTACTCACCATTACTCACCATTATTCACCATGCCGAGGAGTATATTGTCAACCATGATCTTCCCATTGTAAGGTATAATACCA